TTAATTAAAAAAAGTTGGGGTTCCAAAACCCTGGAAATAGGCATTTCAGATCTTATCGTTTTCAAAAGATACGATACGATACGGGGCGTACCATATCGATACTTTAAACCATGGTTGCTCCAAACCACGTCTTTTCGATTTTTAAGACATGGCTTGGAGCACCGTTTTTTATGGAAAAATGGTTCCAAATAAATAGGTATTTCTTAGAACACCGTTTTTTTTCTGATGTAGAGCTAATGTATCACCATTTTTTGGAGCAACATCAACAATGCCAAACAGACGCTAATTATTTAAAAATAAAAAAAAAAAATCGAAGGGATTTTCCCTTTTTAAGTCCAATCGCTTTAAGATATGTCAATAAAATTTGATGTCATCCAAACCTTTAACCCGTTGGTCCTTTTGATGGCGCCTTCGTTTTCCTACTTTTTCCTCAACCAAACACAGCTTAAGGGAAAAGAAGTCAATTCATCATTTAACCAACGGTTTAATAACCTTAAAAAAGACCAAGAAATAGGAAATTACAAAAAAAAAAGGAAAACAAGTAATTATGGAATAAAATTATAAACTAAGGGAAAAGAAGTCAATGCATCATTTGCTAAGTTTTTCTTTTTCTTTTTTTTCAGTGGACGGTTTGGTATTTCAGTTCGCCTGAAATCAGTAAGATTGCCGCACCGAACAAGCAAAAACCTGAGCCCACTGCCTTAATCTCGTTTTCACTAGTTGAGGATTGTCGCCTGGAGTGAATATGGTGTGAGGGCTTCCCAAGGGCGGCGATGCATCGCAGTCGGAGGTGGCGGTGGACGAAGACAATCATTTGGAAACGTACGCTGTGGTTATACTGCTTGTTAACGGCATAATAAAGAGCCAAAGCGGGCAAGGTATCGGAGAGCCTGTTGTCGAGATGGGGCGAATCCAAATCGAAACCAAAACCCAACTCGATGCAGATTGCAGGCCTTGAGTTCGACAAGGTCCTTGTCCGTAACGTTCTTGCTCCGTCTTCTGTTTGTTGTTGCCCTTCTTCCGTTTCAACCAGGCCTCATCCCGATACGTATCGGGGGATCAGGAATGCTGCTTGTGCTTGTAAAGCGATGAGCACAGAACCTTGGGTTTGATTTCCGACATGGGCCCAGCCCCACCACCCCGGCATGCTTTACTTTCTTATTCAGATTTCTTTTACAGCATTAGAGGAATTCAATAGATCTTATCTTATCTAAAAATTATTCTTATTTGAAAATGAGAGATTGCAGAGTTATTTGTATTTCTTCATATCTATTCTATTTTACAAGAAAAATGATTCTCTCATTGCAAGTTTAAAGGTATTGAATCGTTGCAGAACTCAAGAATTCCTCATTGCTAATGGCAGATAGCTTAAGCCTATCTGTTTAACTTCATAAAAATCTATAATATTCAGATGGTTAAACTTTAAATATTGCCTAAGGGAGATATGTGGAGGAGGGAAGACGAGCATGTTTAACAGTACGTGCTTCTGATATTGAGGTCATTAATAAAGATTGTCACATAAATTTCCATATTCCTTATTCTAAAATATTTTATATTGTAAATTTAAATTTTTTAATAATACCACTATAATATTTTGAACAGACCAACCAAATAAAAAATTGGCTCAAACCAATATAACCCAAGTTGGCTGGTTTTCACTAATGGTTGGTTAGTTTCAGATGATCAACTCCCTAACCCAATAAAGTCAATTTGGTTGGCCAAACAACCTACAACTAAACTGAACTAACCCGTGAACACTCCTAATTTTAACTAAACTAATAGTTTAATCTCTAATAAATAACAATAGTTTAATCTCCAATCATTATTGAAAATTTTCTATTAAATAACAAAACAAAAGTATATTTATACATAATTATTGAAAATGTATTTATCACAAAATACAATAAATATAAATTTTAGTATATATAAATATAGATTAAGATTTTAAAATTATTATTAATAAATATCAATTTTCTAAAAGTTATTTTCTATAATTATTAATTCATATAAATGAAATATTTTTTTATTATTAGTACACTAATAATTGCAATTATTATTATATTTTTTAATATCTATTAAAAGAATATTTTAAAGTTATTACCTATATTTTTATTTGAAATCTCTAATACCTCTAAATTGTTTAATCTATTTTTCATTATTTCAAAAATATTTAAAAAAATTTAAATTATTTATATTTTATATTATTAAATATATTATAATTATTTTTGTATTTTTGATAAAATTTTAAGGTTATTACATAATTCATTTATTTATTTAATCTATTTTATTTGTTTTTAAATAATATTTAAAATATGATTTAGTTATTTATTTTTTTTAATATTTAAAATATTATTTATCTATTTAAATAATACCATTATTTATTTATTTCAATATTACTTATTTATTGAATTTCATAATCCATAAAATTACAAGTTATACTATTATTACATAATTTCGTTATTAATTTTGTGAAGTATAAAATTATTACTAATCCAAATGTTATAAAATCTATTATAGCAATTTTCTATGTTTAATAAAACTTTTAAGTTTATTACATAATTTTGTTATTTTAACTATTTAAAATTTAGTTATTTTAGATATTTAAATAAAATGTAAAATATTTAAATTTTTTCATTATTTAAATTTTATTTATTTTAAAGTTATTACATAATATTAAATATTTTGTTATATAATATTTATCTATTTTTAATATTTTGTAATATAATATTTAACTATTTTTAATATTTTTATTGAAATTTTTAAATAATATTTTTAAATTTTAAATTTTAGTATTTGAATAATATTTAAATTGAATAATTTGTAAAATTATAATTTATATTGTCAGTACATAATTTTGTTATGAATTTCATAAAAGTATAAAATTATTAGTAATATTAATGTTATTAAATCTATGGTAATTGTTTAGTGTTTTTAATAAATATTTTAAAGTTGTTACATAATTTTATTATTATATTAAATAATTCTTAAATTTTTTAATTCAAACTTTCTTTTGATAGATATAGATGAAAAGTGGGGGATATGATAAGGAAATATAGATAATTTAGGAGAAAGTGGGGGATTGTAGTGCCACTTGGCTATATTGGATTAGATTTTGGTAGAGAGAGATTTTAGGAATAGTTTTAAGAAGGGATAAACATAAAGAAAAGAGGGATGGACAAAACATGCTGAGATGTCTAAATGAGAGAGAGAGAGAGAGAGAGAAGGGAGTGATGAGGTAGCTTCATTAGGGAGCAAAGAAGGCTAAAATGAAGAGGGGCTGGGAGTTTTGGGTTGGGGTAAGGGAGAAAGCTCAAGCCATCTTACTTGGGATGTTAGATTTAAAATAATAAGCAAAAAGAAATATCATTTGATATATCCAAAAGAAATTAAGAGCTTGATTGGCCCTTTTTTCACTGAACTCTCCTAAAACACTAAGAGAAACTACTAAAACTTGATTTCCCCTATTAATTTTTCATTTTTACTCTTTTTATTTATTTAGCCTATAATTATTGAAGTGCTTTTTTCATATATTTTAAATTATAAAAATGCATAAAATATATATTTTTTGTATTAAATCGTTAAATAATCATTAATACTTGATATCTTGACACCTGTTTACACTCCATGCCTTGAGGCTTGAGGCTTACGGCTCATTTTAATAAAGGCTCATATCTTGAGGCAAAATCTGTGTGCCTCGTAAGCCTCACACCTCAAGGCTAAGCCTTTTAAAACAGTAGGAATGAGCTTTGTTGTAATTGTTTGGGTAATCAGGAACAGTAGGAATTAGCTTTGTAATTGGGACTCTCGTGGTGGACAATAATCACAATACTTTTTCTTCACCTAGGTATATGCCGATATCGGTGCAGTTCTTTTTGACTCAGATGGTAGATTTAATATGCTCTCTCGTCTAGTGTTGAACCAAGTTCGTCTGTTTATGCTGAAGCTGGTCTGAAACTCTGAATCTAGCAAAAAGGCTAGAATTGATAAATTTAAATCACGCTGCAGCGAGTGTTCCCCCCTCCCTTGGTTAATCTGAACTCTTGTTTTGGATGTTAAAGGCGGAACTTGATTTTGATGTGGTTTGTATATGTCTCTAGAGTGTCAAATTTTATTACTCATTTTCTAACTTCTGATAGTGTTGTAAAGGGGAATGGCTTGTCCAACCTCCGCCTTGGATCAGACACTTTGATACATTGGCATTGTCCCGGTCTTTTTTGCTATGTGTTTGATTCCATTTATATTTATTGAGTGAACGCTGCCACATAGGTGCCCCATCAGCAAATGTCTCATTAATTGCATCCGTATATATCGATGTTTGCTTTCGCCTCCCACATTTCAGGAAGCTTCATTTTGGAGCTTCCTAAAACGGATAGACGTTCACTTTGCTGATGTGGTGCCTAATGGCACCTATGTCATAAACATCCTCATTAATTGCTTTTTCTCGATTTTGCAGCCACACAAGTACAAAACGTTTACTCAATAAACGTAAACAGAACCAAACACCCTCTTGAATGCTAATACCGTTTTTTACCCAAAAAAACGAGTCTAATGAAGGAAGTAAATTGCATTGCAGCACCCAACAGTCGTGGAGAAGGCTTGGCTGTAATAGAAACTTCATGAGCATGAGGCATGAAGGCGTTTACCAATCTAATGAAGGTTGTGTTTGGTACTATTGCTGTTTAAAACATTTTGGATTGATCAATACAAATTGACATATAATTGTTATTTCATATTTGAACCTATTTATGGTTGAAACAGGCATACCTTAAAAATGCATGTGTAAGAAACTGCTTAAACAATTATCAAATTGGTGTTTTCTTGCTCCAAGGAGTGAAATCTAATCATTCTAACTAAAGAATTCTCACATAGAAATAGCAATGCTACCAAACACAACATCATTGGAGGCGTTTCACAACCATGATTGCAACCCATTCCCGGCAGGGTCAAGAGTGCACATTCTCAACACTAGACCCAAGAATGTTAAGAAACAGGTAAACCTGTAATAATTTTGCTAATTGCTTTTCTTTATAATTTATAATTTTTATCAAACAATGCAAGAGTGAAGAGTCCCAAAGTGCGGGAGATAAAACATGGACCACCACAGTTAACTACATACTAATAGCCTCTGCTTATGATGTTCATTTAATCACAGGGTTTCACAATCGAACAAATAGATAGAGGCCATCGCATTCACATGGATAGTTTAAAAACCAAATAGAGATACCAACACCGGAAAAGCAGGACCCCACATGATTAGAACAGCTACCTCAAAATAACCTAAAAGTTCAAGCAGCACTCCTCCAATACACAGCAGCAGCAAAGTGCAGCAAAACTGGGAAATCAAAAAGAAATAAATCATGTATCAGTCAAGTGTCACAATAATCTTGCAGCTGGTTTTCTTTTGCAGCAAAGATCCAAATCATAGTCAAACTCAATATAGCCTAATAACTCAAACGGTAAAATTTGTTATTTTAAACTGATGCCAATTTATTTGCAAACAAGCTTGCACAGAACATACCATACAATACAGTGAATAAGATCCTAATTCAACTATGGAACTAACCCCAAACCTATGTTGATGATCGTCCCCACTTGGTGAGCCGATGAGCATATCACGTTTGACTTGAGTCAGAATCAAAATATTCATTGCTAATTAAAACAACAGAACTGGACTTGTTCTGCCTTCTTGTCTACTAACTCTGAATAAATTGATCAAAATATTCTTCATCCAATGACCCACAGCAGTGGAGGCACCCATCTAAGCTACACAAATTCTGAATTTTCCCAAGTTGAAAGCTACTACAATATTTTCGCATCAGACAGAAATAGAGAATTACAACCCAATACTGCATTGAATTCAAAAGGAATTTTTCGTTTTCTAACAAGAAGCCATCCACTCCCAGAACATATATACTTGAGCAAGTCCTCCATGAGTTCTTCAAAATCAAGAAAAGGCCAAACAACTTTACATTGATGATAATAGAGAAGGGCCAGGGAAAAATTTGGATGCTTCTCTGTTATGGGCCCGGGAATAGGATCTCATCACAGGTCGGTCCACGGGGAAAACCTCCTGTTTTCCCTTGTTCCTTCCTGCTCTTGATGAACCTATCTTRGCGCCTCTGGTGATTTGTTCAAGAGATCACCAACTCTCCTAACTCACTTCCATAACTGAATATTCGATATCCTCATTCAATAATGGGGTCTCCTTAAATAGGAGATTACAAGAGTCCTAATCAAAGGGAGTCTCCTTGCTGAATAGGGAGACTTCCAGTTTTATCTTGCTAAGGATAAGATAAACTAATCCTAATCTGATAAGCTACTAACAAGATAAGAGCAATAGAATAAGATAAGAACAAGCAAGATGATCTAATCTAATCTAGATAAGGCTGATGTTGCCGAACTGGGTAGGATGAGAATCATTGAATCACTGCTGCTGTTGGCGGTGGGTCAGGTGCCGGTTGCTGCCAGTGGCGACGGTACGTCTTCCCGAGGAATGCGTCCATAACATTACTCCCCTCCTGGACTACGAGCTTGTCCTCAAGCTCGAATTCTGGATATGTGGCGTGGAACTCTGCCAATGGGAGCCATGTGGCTTCGGCCGATGGTAAATTACACCATTCTACCAAGACTTCAACAACAGCACCAACAAAGAGCTTAGCTGATTGATGGGGAAGCTCAGTACCAATATCATCAGGAAACAAGTTGCATAAGATGTTGTTCTGAGGTCCTTCTTGAGAGCCATCAATTCCAACACATACAACATTCAACTTCAATAAGTATTCAAACCTCAGAGTAACCAGTTTTGCAGGCTTGGGATTTGAAACCTCATCAT